CAACCCCCCCCCCCCAAGCCAGGGAAGCCGCAAACATCACTCAGGGCCACAGAGAGCCCTGCCAGCACCCTTTGGTCTTGCCTGTCTCTCGCTCCTTGCACTGGAGCAGTTTCCTAGCCCTCAGCCACCGAGGGAGGTAAGCTACACGTCAGGTAAGGACTTTAGCCCTTCCCTTGGGAGCTTGGAGATTAACCCTTGGCAAGAGGGTTTTGCTACTCCTCCGAGCAAAGGCAAATCCTCTGGTAGCGGGGCAAGGGAGGACGGATGGCTCGGGTGCCACCCAGACCTGCTGCTGGGGGAGGGGGGGGGGATGAGATCTGAGTGGCAGAGTCCACAGGGGACAGAGACAGGCTTTGTCCTCTGAATTGATGCGTGCCGGCAGCCTCCCGTTCACCCCTTGCTACCAGCGAGCAGCAGGCACAGCGGGGGCTGGAGCAGCACGGCCAGCAAGACCTGAGAGCCTGGCACCGGGGCACAGCCCTGCTCCTGCCTCAAGAGCCCTTCTGCTGGGTCTGGGCTGCGGGAGAGACCCCAGACCTGCAGCACTGCCCAGGATTTGCTCTGGGGGAATTCTCAACGCGTGGAGCAGTTCAGGGCTGCCCCCCGCATACTCACAAGCATTTTTCCCCCTTTATCCTCTGGCAGCCTGGATGAAGAGCCAGGACTTACTGCGCTTTGGGGGTGCTACCACTGAGCTTTGGGGAAAGTGTAGGGGATGGTCAGGCCAAACAACAACTCATCCTTGCAATTTTAGAAACCCATTGCCAGCACAAACTGCCTAGCACAGGACCCCCACCCCCTCACCACCCTAACACCCAAATCCTCTCCCAGGCTTACAGGGCGCAACACGAGTGTGAAGCAAACAGCAAGGTTAAGTCCATTAAAGGAGGCACGTGGTGTAATCCCCAGGCGCATCTGCCCGGCTCAGGCTGGGGATGCCTGGCAGGGGCTCTCGCTGGTCCGAGCAGATCCCGGCAGCGATTCCCATCTCACACCTCCTGGGCCAGCAAGCCTCTGCCCCTCCAGACTAACGTCATCTCCTTCCCATGGCTGGCCTCTACAAAGGACTTGGGAGTCGAGAGGGGTGTCACCGAGGGGGGTCAACTGCCCTGACCATCCTTTTAAGACACTTCGGCTGCCACCGAGGCTGACGACCAGACACAGCGAAGGGGACAGAGAGAGGAGGAAGCGAGCAGTGCCATAGGCAGGGCTGGAAGTACCGAAATCCAGTCCCCTCATCCCCTGGGCACCACCCACCACAGACACCCACACTGCCCCAGGGCTCAGAGTAGACCACAGCACCCTGGCCTCCCTGCTCCCAAGCAGCAATGCCAAAGGTGCAAAACCAAGGGCTGGAGGAGCCTCGGCCCCAGCTCCCCTCCCAGGGGTGACCTTGCCAATCCACCCCCAGCCCACACATCGCACATGGACCAAGGGACTTGCCAACAAGAGATAATCCCTCAATCACTTAATTGCTTTAAAGAGAAGCAGAACATAAAGCATTAAACATTTCAGGTGATAAGACTGAGTCACTTACCAGCCCGAGGAGGAGGGAGTAGCTGCATGCCAGTGCTGAGCAGCCAGACCCAGGGGCTCGGGGCACTAAAGTCACCCCAGACTGTGGTAGTGGTGAAGGAGCATCAGGAAGAGGAGCAGGAGCAGCAGCCACCACCCTGCTTTCAGAAAGCCTGCTCCCCCCCAGTGCTGTGCTATATATCAATTAATCACCGAGTGAGGAATCTCAATCAGCACCCACTAATTATCCTAACAAAGCAGGCCTGCTTTTTGTAGTTGCTGATGAAGCAGATTCTGCTATGAAGGGAGGGCTGCCCCCCGTCCTGTCCCCCCCCCAGCCCAACTGATGGGGGTTGGCAGTCAGGTCTCCTGC